GAAAACTTTTGGAATGAGGTACACGACTTCAGAGTACAATTTCTCAATCGGAAATTGTTTTACCAACTACAGTAATTGTATGTATGTATTACATACAAGGTTATTTGTCCAAATTAGAGGTATACACAAACTAAGAGAAAACAGAAACCGCTCAAACTGTAGGCAGGCAATATTTACCTCAATATGAGGTTCAATATACCTTACGGATATTGAAGGGGCAAGCTTTTTTTCTCCCTCTAATTCGGAGGCTTTCTTTTGCTCCTCGTAAATATTTTCAATTTCAGCCATGCGTTGGATGAGATCACAAGCCTCATTGCTAGACCTAGTTTGCTTGTAATAGAAAATCTGTCAAGAGGATGGACGCCAGTTAACAATAGCACCTTACAATTAACTAGAAACATCAGCAAACTACATATAATAAATCCAAACTAATGAAAATGGAAGAACTATTTGTTCATACCAAATTAATATAATGTGTGTGCATATTCTAACACAATATCTTACCCCAACATCGTCGACTTCAAATGCAACAGAAGTGACATAATAACCTCCCTTATTATACTCAGAAGGATCACGACTTCTGTCGACCATCCCGTTTTCACTCATCATTTGAATGAATCGAAGATAGAAGTCGCGAAATTTGGTAACTGTGGGATCTGTTTTAAATGAAGGCTCAATCTGAATCTGAAATTAACATACTTACCAAGGTTAGTTTGTTTAAATCTCTTCATCAAACTCCTCGAGCTTTGTGATTTTGAGAAGACAGTCATGGCTGAGGCAAGCTAAGCGAAAATCGGGGACCATTTTCTGCTTGTTCAATCGCCATTCGCCGCTAATGCTTCAAGAAATTGCTCACGATAAATGGGAGTAACAAGAAACGGACTCCGAGTAACCCTAATTTGTTGGGCCGAGTTTGGGCCTAACAGTTTGGGCCAAATATATAGTGTATTGAGTAATTTTATCAAGATATTTTATGTCCTTGTAATTCCAGTAAGTTTGTTGTTAGAAATACTTAAATCGAAACATAATTATATTTTTTAACAAATATATATGGTTTCATACAAAATTTTCATACATAAAAAAATATATATACATATATATAAATAAATAAAAGTGCGACATTCGACTGATTTGGTCCACGAATCTACTCTAGCTCTCAATGTATTCATATAATTTCGGGCGGAATGAGGATTGTAACGAGGGATCGAGATGCTCGATTAGGAGGAACAGGTGGATAAATTTTGTACAATGTAATTTTCAACTAGTCGACTTGTCTAACAGCTAGAGTAACTCACATAAAATTTATTAAAAAAACAAAGTCACAGAGACCTTTTAATAGCTCGATTGACATCCACTTTTATATGAAAGTAGACACTATTATGTGATTATTTATCTTATATATATAATAACAAGATGTGCTAAACCGAAGTGGCATGCTCTGATACTTCGAAATCCTATATTTCAAATTTTCATATTTTGTCATTTGGCTTGAATGAATTTTAATCATTCTTCATTTAAAATTTATAAGGTTTGGAATAGTCATAAATATATTAGATATTTATGGTCATTTTGAAAGACATTAATATTACGTTTCCTATACTAAACATGATTTACAAGACGTATATTTTTTTTTCAATCTTTTTTTCTCACATTTCTTCTAATATTATGAAAATACTAACTTAATTATAAGTAAATTTGAAAGTTTAAATTTTTTTTATTTATTATCATTTTTTATACATAATATTTTCAAATTACTCATGTCTTGATGAGTTTCGATTTGACATCTATATTGTATATACAAAATAAATAAATAGTTATTTTTATATTTATAATATAAATTATCTATGAATATTAATTAAAAATAAAATTATTTAAATCAATTTAACTACAATGTACTAAATAATATAATTTATTAAAAATAAATATTATGATATAAGATGGTAAGCCGTATAAGTCATGTGTGTTATTTTAAATATAAAAAGTAATATAATTATTCAAAAAAAAAAAACTATTTGAAAATTTGAACAATCTTTTATTATTATTTTAAATTTTAAATATAAATTTGTTAACAAACACACGAGTAAAACAAATTATTTCTACAAGTTATAATAATTCACAACACACTCAAACATTTATCTTGCCACGTGTGCAAAGCGGATAATAATGATGATGAGAGCATGTTCAATGGTTGAAGTGGATTAACAATTGAATAGACGATCTTTCGGTCTATGTGGAAAAAATAGAATGTCATGTTGATATGTCACTCTCTAGCGGTAGATGTCTAAACACAGTAAATGTTTATATACATGTTTTATTTTTTGACTAATTACCATCCATAACTCAATTGATATTCATCAAATTTTTTATATCAGGCATATTTATTTTTTAAAGAACTACCACCCACAACACAACTGATATTCATTTCGTATTTTTTTGTATTCATCTGTTATTATTTTGTATTCATGTGGTATTTTTTTATCAGATATTTTTTTAACAACTGATATTTATTTTTTGTATTCTTTAGTTATTATTTTTCTTTTTTCTTTTTTGTATTCATCTGGTATTGTTTTTTTTATCAAATTCATCTGGTATATGTTTTGTATCAGGTATGTTTGTGTTATTTACGTAATAATAGATTTTAATTGAAAACAAAAGAAGTAAAAAGGACGGAAAAAATGAGTCATCCATTCTAAAAGGGACTTTCAGATGTAGAGTTAAAATTTTTTATTCCCTCTCATGCCACATTATAATAAGAGCATCTCTAATAACCCTTCTACACGAACCTCCTTTATCTATTCTCAATATGCCACATCATCCAAAACCTCATTTTTACTCATATACATATAAACCTCCAATAATAACAAACCTCATAAACCTCCTTTTTATAGGTCCCACACGTTTTCCACTTATTTTTATTATTAATTTTATACTCTTATTTTTAATTAATATTTTAAAACTATGACTTAAATTTTATTTTTATATAATTTAAATATTTCACATATTTATCCTAAATACATACAAAAATAATAATATAATTATATGTAACTATATTGCACTATTTAATAATAAAAGAAAGGAATAAATTTTTGATTAAGTTCAATTTATATTGAATTAATATATATATATATATTTTTAATATTTATATATTTCTATATATATATAAATATATAAGTCAATTTACAAAAGAAAGAAAACACTTCAAATTGGAAGGACTATAAAACAAAAAAAAAAAAAAAAGAAAAACGTTAGCAAAAGAGAGGAGACAACCACTATCTGCATTTGATTATTGTGGGGCCAACCTCTTTTTTCTCTCCACGCGCTGTGCATCTCACACACACATTTCATGAGAATTTTGAACATCACTTACATCTATGCATGTGTAATTATAATTTTTATATCATTTTAGATGGAGGTTTGAAATCAAAGAGCTGTGTTAAAATATCAAACCTCAAACCTGATGTATCTAATAGAAAACCTCTCAGTATCAGATTTTCAAACCTCATAAAAACCTTATGAAAACCTGCTATTAAGGATGCTCTAAGAAGAAATTAAAAAGCCACTATTGGAGGAAGATTTTTGTCCCAAAGCATCTACAATTCTCCAATGGTAGTATGGGTTCTCAGATGGGCGTCACTTTTGATTTTGGTTGAAGTTACTGCACTTGGTACATAAAATTGCTCCACAAGACAATTCTCTTGGTTTATTTTGCATTGTCTTCACCCACTAAATGTACATATTATTTATAGGGTGATTTGTATTTAAAATCCTAATATTTTGTGTAAGTGCAAATAAAACTTAACTTTATTTGGCAAAAAAATACCAAACATTTAATAAATATTGCAATTGTGTCTCACCCGCCGGACCGCTGCCAACCGCCGCCGGCCAACTTCGTCTAATGTTATGACCTTGTAGCTCTCCTCCGTGGTGACAACATAACCGAGTTTCACAAAAAAATTCCAGCGATAAGACTTCTAATTTTTCGATCAAAATCGTAGATTTTCAAATTTTCTCCGACGTTCTTTCGCAAATTCCTGGTGACTTGTTTTGACCCATCTGAATCCGAAGGTACCGTTGAACTCCTCTCGCAAAGCCACATCTAGTGACGTCTACATTTGCCAAAACCGGTGCCTTTTCCGACGATGACTTTTCCAATCATCTTATTCAAGGTTTTTAATACGGCCGGAAATTGATTTTAAGACACAATTGCAATACTTATTAAAAGTTTGATTTTTTTTTTTTTTGCCAAATTAAAAAAATTAATTTTATTTGCAATTACACAAAATGTTAAGATTTTAAATGCAATTAACCATTATTTCTAACATAAGTAGATTTTTCTGTTCAACTTTTTAGCTTAATTATCACAACCACAATAGATTTCACCCTATCAGTGATTTTAAATGCAATTAACCATTATTTCTAACATAAGTAGATTTTTCTGTTCAACTTTTTAGCTTAATTATCACAACCACAATAGATTTCACCCTATCAGTGTGCCAAGTTCCTCATCATTAAATCAACACATAACGATATGAATACGTATGTGTGTACATGTAATTCAATTGTGAGAAAAGATGTGAGCACTACACATACATGTAGAATCGAATCTTCCCACCACCACATCATCAAGACATTCTTATCCCAATAGATCGATCAAAATTTCAATTACAAAATAATCAAGATGGATTTCAAAGTCAGAGAATTTATTTTCTAGAAATTCAAAACAAGGTAGTTAAATTAAGATGACTGCACTTGATTATACGAGAAGCTAACCTCAGGAATATATAAGCACCTACATTTTATAGCAGCTTTTGCAGCGGCCATGGAAAGAACAGAACAATA